ATGAACTTACCATAGTTCGTTCTTTTTTTAAATCCTAGTCATTAATGGCCTCGTCCACGTCCAGGTTTCCTAAGGAAACGTTAATTACGTTTCCTTAAGTAAAAATAAAAAAAAACTTAAAAAAAGAAATGAACTTACCATAGTTCATTCTTTTTTTAAATCCTGGTTGTTAATGACTTCGTCCACGTCCAGGTTTCCTAAAAAAAAAGAAAGGGAACGTTAATTACGTTCTCTTAAATAAAAAATAAAAAAAACCTTAAAAAAAAGAACGAACTTACCATAGGTTCGTTCTTTTTTTTTAAATCCTGGTCGTTAGGCTTCGTTCATCCAGGCTTTCTAATAAAAAAGAAGGGAACCATTAATTAAGTTCCCTTAAGTAAAAATAACAAAAAAAAGAAATGAACTTACCTAGTTCGTTCTTTTAAATCTTGGTCGTCCAGCGTCCGTTCATCCAGGAAAGGGTTTTTAAAAAAATGAATTTTTTTTAAAATTTAAAAAAAAATCTGATCCAAAATCTGTTCAGATCAGATCAGATTTTCTCATGTTTGATCTGATCCGATCTGAATCTGATCGGATCAGATTTTTTTTAAATCTGATCTGATCTATGGATCAAAATTTTGAAAACTGAACTGATCTGACTCAGATCAAATCTGCGGATCCCAGATCAGATCAGATTTTTTTCAGAGCACTAATTTGAACAAAATGTTGACAATATTTCGATTTTCTTTTATTTTAGGTTTTCAGCTTTCTGGTTTCCGTATGTCTGGATGGAATTTCGAAGGTATCTTTTCGAAATTATGCATTTTTTCTTTTTTATTTGAACGAAATGTTGACTAATGTTTCGATTTTCTTTTTTTTTTAGGTTTTTCGGATATCTGGATGGAATTTCGAAGGTACCTCTTTGAAATTCTGATTTTTTTTTGTTTATTTATTTGAACGAAACGTTGACTAATATTTCGATTTTCTTTTATTTTAGATTTTCAACTTTCCGATTTCCATATGTCTGGATGGAATTTCAAAGGTATCTCTTCAAAATTCTGCATTTTTTCTTTTTTTTATTTGAACGAAACATTGATTAACGTTTCGATTTTCTTTTTTTTTTAGGTTTTTTGGATATCTGGATTATACATGCCACCCAAATTATTTTGGACTGCCGTAATTATAAGTAAAATCCCAAATTCAATTATGGCATCCCAAATTATTTTAGCACTTTACATAGTAAATTATATATAAACCGAATGAATTATAGCATCCCAAATTATAATTATGGCATCCCAAAATAATTTGGGCAGCATGTATAATTTGGATGGAATTTCGAAGGTACCTTTTCGAAATTCCAATTTTTTTTTTGTTATTTTATTTGAATGAAACGTTGACTAACGTTTTGATTTTCTTTTATTTTAGGTTTTCAACTTCCCGGACGGTATTTCAAAGGTGAAACTTCGAAAAAAAGTTTTTTTTTTGTTTATTTGTGTTTATTTGACAAACGTTAACTAATGTTCGTTCTTATTTTTTTGTAAGTCCAGAACGTAAAGGAAGATACGGGTCCCAGACTCCATTTGAAGGTAACTTCAAAAATATTGTTTTTATTTAACATGAAACGTTAATAACGTTTCATTTGGTTTTTTGTAAGTTTTTGGTTCTTCCAGATGGAATTTCGAAGGTAAAACTTCGAATATTTTAATTTTTTTTATAATGAACGTTAGATAACATTCATTTTTCTCATTTTTTTTTTGTCCAGAACACCGAATAGAGTTTTTTTGAATAAATAATTTCTTAATGAAACGTTTCTAACGTATCATTTTTTTCTATTTATAGATGGCCGGTTCTTCGATATTTGGATGACTAGTCGGAAGTTTAGTGAGGAATATTTTTTACTAGTTATTACTTTCAATTAATTCATTTAACGAAGCATTTTTTACTAACGTTTCATTTTACTCTTTTTTTTAGGCGACCAGCCTTCATGTCTATTAACGAGAGTATTTGGATATATTAATGGAAATATGGCGAATATTTGGTACGCAAGATTTTGGTATAGGAGCTATAGAAGTAATTTAAAGGTGAGTTTCGAAATGTAAATTGTTGGTGAGTTTTTTGCTTAATTTTTTATTAATTCTTTTTGTTTTTTATTCTTTAGGTTAAAAATAGCAAGTTTAGAATGATTTATTATAGGTATTAATATAGCATAGGTGTGTTTTAGATTAGAAAGGTAAACATATTAATTAAAGAATATATAATTTTTAATAACAATGTAATTTAAAATGTCTAATAAAATTGAATAAAATTAAAACTAAATTTGGAAAAATCATCCACATTCAATCTAAAATTCAGACAAAATTCAGACAAAATTTGAAAAAAATCATCTAAAATTTGCCATAATTCAGACAAAATTCAAACTAAAATTGCTATAATTCAGACAAAATTTATCTTGATCAGAAAATATTTTTTAAACAATTCGGATCAAAAATTACTAAACAATTTGGATATAATTCTGACATTCTGATCGGCATCGATCGGCCTGCCAATCGGAACTTTTTTTGGATTGATAATTTGGCTATCTTTATCACCAAATTCAGCCTAAAATCGGACATCTGATTTCTAGCCGATTTGGACTATTTCGACCAGTGATGGCAAAGATCTTTAACTTGATCAGGGAAGTGCCAGGTAAGACCACGGTTTTTGAATGAGACAGTTAATTCTAGAGCTGAATCAAGTGTAGCTTGAGAATAAAAATTCATATAAATATAAGGTTTGGGTTTATAAGAAGTGAAAAATAAAGGAATGTTTATTGCTTTAGTAGAAACAACAGGGCGGACATGTATTATATCACAATGTCGATCACTTGCCGATCATGATATAAGTGATATCATGTTAAATTTGAAGCTTTATTCCAAGCAATAAATGTTCTGACAATTTATGTTAAATTATTTTATTTAATAGTTTCATTTATCAATAAATTAATATAAAAGTATTGTGGCAAAATAAGATGTGTTTCCAAAGTTAGATTTTACGTCAAATTTCAATAATTAATATATATGCTATATATATGCCGATCATCTGCTAACGTGACTTTGAAGCTTCGGGTGAAGCCACAGATCTTTGGGCGAAACTTGAAACTTTTACAGTATATTATTTAGGTATTCAAGAATCAATGGCTAAAATAAACCTGGATAATTTTTGATAACCCAAAAGTTATCATTAAATAAATGTTTACAATTATTGTAAAATTAATATATGTCTGATATTTGACAAATTTTTTATGAATTATTTTAAGAACTAATTTATTAACAATAAATAAAATAAAGTAAATAAAATTGAAATTTTTTACATTATTATGTAGAATTTGTGAAAAAACTAATTCAATGGTATTTTTTTATGTGATAATATTGGACAAGTGATCGGCAAAATAATCAGCAATTTCGTGATAATATGGGGATGTCCGCCCTGTTAACAGAAACTTGGTTAGCTTCTTTGATATTCTTAGGAATACCAGCTAAGACCGCAACAAATTGTCTTCGGGCATCTCGTTAGGTCTTTGAGTAGGCAGCTGGACTAATATTGCTTGCCAAAATCAAGTAGTTTAGGCCAAGACCGAAACTTTTTTAAAATTGAAAGTTTAGGCAATTAAAAGTAAATTTGCTGAAATTATACAATGCCGAAACTTTTACCAAAAAGCCGAAATTTGGTCGAAATTATTGGCCAACATTAATACTATAATTCTGGCCGGCATAATGATCGACATGTAAATTTCCTTTTATGGATATTTGTGTAACCTTTGTGCGACACATTTCTCCGATTTTACTGGAAAACAAAATTTCCTTTTTTGGAAATTTGTGTAACGTCATGTGACACAATGTCATAATTTCGGCCGAATTTTAATTTTGGCCAAAATTAAGACCGAGTTTTGGCCTAATTTCGGCATTTTCGGCATTTGATTTGATTGGCCAAAACCTTTCAGAATTGAGAATTGACTCTTTTTCGTTGCTTTTTTGACCAAAAGTGGAGCAAAAGTTTGAACTTTCTAAAACCTTTATACGTACTTTCTACCTTACTTTTTAGTAAATTTTTAGTCAAAGCTTCGGACTAGCGACTATGTCAAACAGCAAAACTTCAAAAAAAATGGCTCAATAGCCTGTCGTTATTATTGACAACCATAACTCAACTCTTCGTTCTGCTTCCTCCAGCAAGCATACGAACAAGAAATCCAAGGTCTCTTCTGAGCCTTACACTTTACAGAAACCAGCTCAGCCTACTTCGACTGAGATTGATAAAAGCATTATTAAAGACGCTTATGTTAAGGTTGCTTGCCGAAACCTAGGGGTTTAGGCAAGATGGCGTTTCGCCGAAAAGCGAAATTCTGCCGAAACTATATTAAAGTTATATTAAAAAACTGGCGAAACTTTGGAGAATAGCGAAACTGCTAAAACTTATTATAAATGCCGAAACTGCCGAAACTCTGCCGAAACTATAATAAATCTATAGTAAAATTTTGACGAAACTAATCGTAGGATTTTGAAGAGGTTTAGACAAGCAACCTTAGCTTATGTGCTTCCCCCTGGCACCAGCGATATTGCCAATACTCCTTTAACCTTGGACGTTTCGCTCAAAAATCCGCAGCAGCAAATTGAAACTGCAGACGCGTCATGTTCTACTGCCCAATCTGGTGGATCTGCACCTACCGATATGGAAATGGATCAACCCATTGATCTTGCATCTACATCTGTTCAACAAAGAACAATCCCCGTAGTACCAGTAGATCCTATTCTGATCTTGCCTAATCTGGTTATTGCAACTCCTGCAGATACGGTTAAAGACAAAAGTGCCTCTGACAAGAAAACTCACATTAGGAGATTTTTCAGAGTATATATATAAACTGTACAGTACGATCAGCTGAACTGTACTGTACATTTGTGGTTGTACGATCATTTATGTAACAATAAAATTTTAGTACAGTGTACAGTATAACACTTGTACAACATAACGATCTATGATCAGACTTTTTTTTTTTTCTCACTCTCCCAAAGAAACACGTTAAAGAAACACGTCTAAAAGTCAACAAAGACTTTATACATATAAATCTTACAACAAAAATGGCAGAAATTTCTACCGAAGTCAATAAAGAAATTATCGAAGAGGTATATAACCTGGGCTAAACATGCTGAAAAGGTCAAAATAGTTGTTTCAGCAGGTGGTCAATTTCGGAAAGTGCCGCAATAAACCAATTTTAGTATTTATTTTTTGTATAACAGATATTTTACACGAATAGATTCCTTAGAAATATGTTTCTAATGCTAAAATTAGCATTTATCCTTGTATTTAGTACCATTAAAATTACCAAAATAATTTTTTAAATTAAACTTTATATTTATTAATTATTATTTCTATATTTTATATATTCAATAGTGGCCTACCCAAAATACTGCTAAATTTGGTAGAAATTTAACGGCATCTGAGGTTCACTATTATTTAGAATTTCAAGAATATCCTAATACATCTGAAACTGGTTTCGCAAGTATTTATAATGTATCAGGTTGGGATGAGAATGAAGCACAAAAAGCGTTTGCTATGAATAATATTCAATATTCATATGGAGGCAATGGTACAATTCGCAAAGTACAAAATTGTGATTTTTTTCCTGGAATCAGAGTATCCAAGGAACAACGTAATTGCCTTAGTTTTAAAGTATGTGAATTTGCGTCCAAAGAATTAGATGTTGGTCATACATCTGTGGATTTTTCTAAATCCTTTTTCAAAAATATATTTGACGCCAATGAAAAATTTCATGAGAAAACAACTCTTTGGTTAGTAATTCATATATTTATTTTAATTTATAAATACTATATAATAATATATTAAAGTTCATAAAATAACCAATTTATTTTGTAGTGTGTTCGCTAAAGCATATGAATGTCATTGTGAATATATTGATCAAAATGGAGTAAAATGTAACGGTATACCAAAATTATGTGAATTTAATCAAGTACGTATAAATTATATAATAAGTTCTTTTAAAATTATAATTATTATTATTTAATTATCTAAAATTTATAATATTTTCAGGTGGCTGGTTTAATAACATCAAAAAAAAAGTTTATTGGATGTACTAATTGGAAACTAAAAGAAAAACACCAATATTTAACAATTCCAAATAATGTTGATCTGGAATTATTAGAAACGATGTTTAGTGAATATTCCTATCATCCTTATGGTATCGATTTTAAGGTAAAAATCTGGTGATCCTTTTCACTAAAAAGTAATTTTATACAAAAATGTTTTTAACTAAATTTGGCAATTAGCATAGTGGATTTTAATTCTAAATTCGATAGAAAATGATTTTTTATGTAATTTTATTTTTTTCGCACAAAAATTTTAGTTCAAATTTATTTTTATAAATATTTTTTTGCTGTGTTATACATATATTTTTAAAATAAATAAATTAATTTAATATTTAAATTGCAGAACGATGAAGTTAATACGGTAGATGAGTGTTTTATGGTACGACCTAATATTGCACGATCTGATGAATGTCGTAAGTAAATTAATTAATAACTGTATTCTTTTTGTTATCTAAAATAATTAATAATTATTGTTTCATTAGCATTTTTGCATAAAGTCTAAAATCGAATTGTTAAAGGATCTGTGAGTAAGAAGGCTAGTGCATGTCCTGTTACATTCTATCATATAATTCCAGAAAATTTAAAGGAATGCCCATTTATTGCAACTGTATCTGTGGGAAAACATAATCATCCACCTCCACCACCTTATAAAACCCCATATAATATTAAAAATCAACTTCAAAATATAATCAATAATGAACATACTCTTGATTTAACAAGAAGAAAGTTTTTAACTGGTAAGTTAAATTACACAAATATAAATCATAATTATTTATATAAGCTAATTAAAATAATATAAAATAAATAGGAACAATGATTCAAAACTACTTAAATGGAAAACAATTAAGTGAATTACATCCATCATTGAATAATCAATCTAAAATTGATTATTATATTGGCAAAACTCGACGTTCACAATATCCATATGGACAAAATATCTTGGGAGTTACACATGAATTTATGAAACATGAAAAAAGTGAAGATCTATATATTTGATCAATTCGTAAGTAAATTGTATTACGCGTAATACGTTTATATCACTTTTTTAATCGTAATTTAATTTTTTATATTTAATTTAATTTATTTTACAGGATTTCTTGATAGTGGCCAATATATTGTTGTATGTGCTACAAAGCAACAACTTAAAGCAATTCCTGAATTGACATATTTTGAAATTGATATGGCATTCAAAAGAATTCATGGTGTTACAAATGAATGTGAAGTATCAGCATATGTATCACGAATACAAAAAAGTGAGTTAAATTTTATTTACTTTAATTTATTTAATTTTTTATAATTTTAATTTAATTGCTTTAAAAATATATATAGCTTTAACTTTTGCACGAATATTTACAAATATTGAGACGGCTGATGCGTATCAAACCCTATTTGAAGACTTGTTTAATTGCATAGAAAAAGATACGGGTGATATATTTAATTTTTATCATATTCATGGAAGGGGTTTGGGATGTATTATCGCAGATCAACACAAAGGGCAAGCTTTAGGTAAGCTAAACTACAGTATAAATTCGAATTATTTGAGTATAGGTATTAATAAAATTTAATATTTAATTAGGTTTAGGTCGATATTTAAATTCAAAGTATCCAAATTTAACGCCAGTTGAGCATTTACAACATATATATAAACTTTGCCAAGTTCATTATTAGCGGTAATTAGATGCATTAATAATTTTTTATAATCTAATTGAATTAATTACTAATTTATAATCATATTTTATTTTTTTTTTATTTAGAAATATTGACAAAAATAAGCAGATATCAAGTGAAATTCGAAGTGCTATGTATTTAGTACCAACTTTAGATTCACAATAAGAAGTGTTAATAGTATTAGATAAAATACAATCTAGTGGCGAATTATGAGCAGAAGGTAATCATTAAATTTAACTTTTCTTCAAAATTCAAACAAATATTAAAGTATTTTTTTTATAGCTTGGGTAAAAGATAAACGTGTTTCATGGGTACTATCGGGTATATCAATTGCATTTACCAAAATGGATCATATTATTTGGAATCAAACACCAAATAATACCAATGTGGGAGAAAGTGCACATGTAAACGTAAATCATGATGGACGTAATTTATCACTTCTTGCCTGAATTGTTAGGTAAAACTTTTTATTTGTTTGTATATAAAACTTATTAAATATTTATTAAAATTCCTTTTTTTTAGAGGATGTAACTTTGATAAACGACAGTGGGAAAGTGGAAATGTCTATGAAAAATATAATATTCCTGATTCTTATAGAGATAAATCTGAATTGGCACGATCAATTCAAGCTGAGAAAAGAGCGGGTAAGTATAATTAATTATTTTAATTATTTTTAAAATATATTTAACTTAATAATTTGTATTTTAATTATTTTAGCAAAAAAGCGTAAATGTAAACAAACTTCATCCTTGAGTACAGTAAAAAAACAAAAAAGTAATTCTCATAATAAGGAAAATGATACTATTGAAATTATTGAATCAAACTGAGATCCATGTTTTGATCAACAAAGAAAAGTTAATACTTTGGCGCAAGAAACACTAGCTATTCGAAAGCAGGCAAATGATGAGCTTGAAAGGGAAATTGCACTGCTTGAGAAAAGAAACAAACTCTTAGGTTTATAATTTTTTCAACATGATTTTCAATTACTTTTATAGAGAGTGCAGCATGTTCGAAGTAAAATAAAGTAATTTTCCAATGACAATAATAAAAATATTTGCGCACGTTAACAGTTAATATAACTATTTATTTATTTATAATTTTATTAATAAAGAACTTTTTTAATTGTGAATTTAATATAAGAATCACGTGATAATCATTTATTTTTACAATTGTACTGTACGAAATTTGTTACAATTTAACTGTACGGTACAATACAAGACTTATATGTATATATATATATATAAGTGCTGTACTGTACTGTATGGATTTTATTATAATTAATCGTACCGTACAGTTCAGCTGATCGTACTGTACAGTTTGTCTATCTACCTGATTTTTCAGTACCAATAGCGTTGCTACTGCTTCAGTACGTAACGTGGCCAGAAAATCCTACGTTTGCGTCCATTTCAGTGCACAGTCTGACGTTGATGATGCACTCAAAAGAGATACTGCGCCATTAACTAACTCGCAAAAAGAAGGTGCTTCTGCGCCTACCTTTACTTTATTTACTACTATCAAACCAGATAAAACTGAAGACAAAAAGGTCGCAGCAAAAAATTGTACCATCCAGGTCATTGATATTCCTTTATATAGAAAAGGTGCTGATGTTCGTGCTGCTTTCAGCAATTTCGGCAATATTGTAAAACTATCCTTGGTAACCAAAGGTTTATACCAGAATGCATATATTCAATTTGATTCGACTGCAGCATTAACTTATTTTACTGAAAATGCTTGGTCACATTTCATTTATGAGGACGCTGTTAGGGTTCTTCCCTTGACTTTACCCAAAAATGAACAAGAAAATAGACAACTACATTGTTTTAAATTAATAGGACTTTCCAGGAATACCAATGCTAGAGATTTAATGGAATATCTCAAATCTATTAATGCACGTTCTTGTTTTCTTCCAAGGAATGCCAAAAATTATCGCACCTTTAACTATGCTTATGTCAATTTTTTAACTGAAGAGGACATAATTAAGGCAGCTCAAACTCACCATTCATACAAAAGCAAACCACTTTATTGGACTTCTCCTGATGCCCAATGTTGTAATTTTTGTGGTAACCCTGACCATTTAGCAAAAAGCTGTAATGATCGTTTGCAACAAATTAATCAAAACAAGAAATATACAATTGTTTCAAACCTGCCTAACATAGAGGTAATCGTCAACAATCTAAAAAGAAATCCTTTGCTGATGCAGTCAAAGATAAAAATCAAGGTCGTCCTAGGAATAACAATGGATATAACCGTACGCCTAATCCCAATCTTCAAAATGGTACTGCTAGTGGTGGTTCTATGCATGATAATCAATTAGTCGATGCTCAACTTCACCAAGTTCGCCAAATGATGACTGAACTCCAATCAATGTTTAAAGGTCTCCAAGCTGAAGTGACCGCTCTTAACAGGAAAGTGGATGATAGAATTAAAAACAAATCTGTCTCTCACTCCCCTGTTAGTCAAAACCTGTTCTTTCTGTCCCTACTCCAGTTACCTTACAAACAATAAAACAAACTGCTCCGGCTCCTCACAATCCTATTTCCGTTGAAAACTCAACTTCTTCCGCCAAACGTACTTATACTGATGTTGAATTTTCTAGTTCTGGCTCTGATAATAATGACATTATCAAACAACAATCCGAAATCAACAGCTCGATGTCACTCATGTCCAGCAAACTCGATAAATTTATTAACTACATGGGCTTTGGATCTTTACCTGATCTCATCGATAGAGGTGATGATGATGAGGAACAAGAAATGGACTATGATCCATCTACTCATGACAACGAAACCGGTGGCGAATTTTAATTTGTCACTCCTTCCTTAACAATTCCTTTTTATGTATCTACTTTCTTTTATCAGTGTGTTATAATGAACGTTAATAATAATAATAATAATTCAACCCCTCTTCCTAATGTATCTACATTTTCTATCAATACTTCCTCTCTTAAAGTAGCAACAATAAATCTCAAATCACTAAAATCCGACAAACAACAATATTTGTTAGACATGTTGGAAAATCAAAATATTCACATTTGTGGTATTTCAGAAACTTGGCGCACTTAACGTGAATCTAATCTATTATATAAAAATGATAACAGATACCAAGCATTCTTTACCGCTCCTCCTAGCAACCAGGCTAAAGGTTCAGATACTGGGATTATAGTTTCCGCTGAATATGCTAGATTTATTCAAAATCACAAGGGTTTCAAAGGCCGTGTCATGAAAGTGGATTTTTTCCGTCATGCGTGGCAATATAAAGTTAAGGGTAATTCAAATTTGTGGCTATCCTGGCTACAACAAAAAAGATATCACTGAGTTATGGAATCACGTGATTAAACTTATTAAAGATGCTCAACAACAACATTATAAGCTTATTATAATGGGCGATTTTAATATCAACTACCACAAATTTTTGAAATCTCAACGGAAACCCAATTACAAACCTTCCTATAAACAAAAATTGTTACATTTTTTGACTTATTCAGATAATTTGGTGGATATTATTCTGCTCTATCATGATGTTACCAACAATAATCCATATAATACACATAAAAATAATTCAGGTCATCACACCAGGATCGATTATATCTGGATCTCCCAAAATTTAGTTAACGATACTTATACTAGTGATCAGTTTAATCCTCAATATTCCACAGATCATATGGTCATGTATGTGGAGTTCTGGACCAATAATTATTTTAAACTCCCTTCTCATGCCAAACAGCGACAACGTAATCGACAAAAAACTATTTATATGTATGATGATATGTCCCAAGATGACTGGTTAGAATTTTTTCAACATACTAAACGTTTATGTGAATTTCAACATCTTTTTAAAGACGAAGTTGATGATATCCACGATTTTAACAGGCTATGGGATGATACTCAGCGTTCTATTAAAGAGGCCGCGAAAACTTACATCAAATCTAGACAAACCACTTCCAAAAAAGATGGACATCCCCTAAGATCTTCATTGCTATATCGTAATATTTGTTTTCTACAAAAATTGGTAATTAGACTTACCAATAAAAAATTCTTGCATAATGAATTTCGCATCAAACTTCAAGATGATTGGTTTTATATTAAAGCTAAACTTTTTGAAATTGCTGGAACTTATGAATCTGATATCAATTTGGCCGCAAATCGCAAACAAATTAAAACGCTTTGCCGCTCTTTAATGGCATTATTTAGTATCAAAATGCAAGAATACAATGAAGAGCAAATGAAAAATTTTATTCGTAAACACTGCGAAGATTTTACTAACAACAAAAAAGCAATGATAATTCTATTGCTGAAAGAGAAATTCGTACTATCGTTTTAAACCGTATTGTACATGAAACTCCTACTGGAACTAGTGATCCGATCCTAAATCCATTTAATCCGGATAGATCCTCAATCCGGATTGAATTCGGATATCCGCATCCTATAATTTTTAAAAGGATGATCCGTTAAATAATCCGGATGACTATCATCTGGATGACCATCCGGATGTCCAATGTTTGATTTTTTCCCGAAGTTTTCCATTTTATCGTTTATAAAAAATTTCATGAAATAGGCGGTTATACAACCCCTTTTTATTTCCTTCTTTACTAATACTGAATTTTTTTTCTCCAATTCCTCAAATTTCTTTGAAATGTAATTACTCTAATAAATAAAATACAAAATATTAAAAATAAAATGGATGATTTTAACTATATTCAAAGTGATGATTTTAATATTGATATAATCGAACAAAACCTTTCAGAAAAAGATAAAGGTATCTAAATAAGCTTAAATTAAGAAATTTTTTTCAATAATAAAATTAATAATCATTCAAATTTTTATTAAAAAAAAAGAAACTGAAACAAGTTCCCTATTGAGTTCTATAAGCAGAAATCATGTAAATAAAAGAAAAAAATCATCGTTTACGAAAAATCACTTTGAAATAGGATATAATATAAAAGGAGAACAAACTCGTACTTGTATAATCTTAGATAAAATGGTAATCGATGTGGTAAAGTATATCAAAATACTGGAAGCTCAACCGAAAATCTTGTTGCACATTTACGAGATGTTCATCAAATTATCGATGAGGATAATGAAAATGCTCTGAAAAAGGTAAAATTTTTTGCTACAATTAAAAATTTATTAAAGATTTTTATTAATGTTTTAATTATATTTAAATTTAGCTACGAAATACAAAAATCACAGATTTTGCTCAATCTCGTCGACCTCATCCTAAGCATATTCAAAAACAACGAGAAGAATCAGTTCTTAAATGGATGTTGCTTACCGATCAACCTCTTGCTGCTATTACAAATCCAGCATATAAAGAAAAAATGTCCCATTTTGATCCTTCATTTGTAGTACCTGGAGAACAAAAAATTAAAACTATGATAGTTAAAAGTTATCAACATAATTATGAAAATTTAAAGAATATTCTAAACGAAACTGCTGCAACAGTAGTATCTCTTACCACAGACCTTTGGTCAAGTAGGGCTAAGCATGGATATATTGGTATTATGGCTGCATGGATTACGCCCAATTTTAAGGTCAAAGATGTAATGTTAGAGATAAAGTATGCACCATCTCCTCATACTGCAAATTTAGTTGCTAAATTACTTTATGATTGCATTTCAAGTTGGGATCTTAATGGGCGTGTAACAGCAATTATTACTGACAACAGTTCTAATATGAAGGCGGCATTTCCTATTTTAACTCAAAAAGATCAATGTGAAACTATTCAAAGACTTCCCTGTGTTGCACACACTAAGGTTGCTTGTCTAAACCTCTTCAAAATCCTACGATTAGTTTCGTCAAAATTTTACTATAGATTTATTATAGTTTCGGCAGAGTTTCAGCAGTTTCGGCATTTATAATAAGTTTCGGCAGTTTCGCCTTTCTCCAAAGTTTCGCCAGTTTTTTAATATAACTTTAATATAGTTTTGGCAGAATTTCGCTTTTCGGCAAAACGACATCTTGCCTAAACCCCTAGGTTTCGGCAAGCAATCTTAGCACACATACTTCAATTAGCAATTGGGAAAGGATTGGCACCTGTAGAAATTTTAGCTGCACGTACAAAATGTATAATCAATTTTTTTTCAAGACAAAAGCAGATAGAAAGATTGGAAGAAGTGCAGCGTAAGTTGGGATATGAGGATATAATGCGCTGTATACAAGATGTACAAATGTGTTGGAACTCTTCATACTATGCTTGGGATAGACTTTTTTATCTCAAAGATGCAATAATTCAACTTCAGACTGATTTATATACTAGTACAAATAGAGAGGATAAAAAGGATGGTACTAAACTAAAAAAAATCATGTTATCCGAAGAAGAATGGGAATTGTTAGACAAATTAATTGATCTTTTATCTCCATTTGAGGGAGCAACTCGATATTTTTCTGGAGGTACATATGTAATGCTTAGTAAAATGATGCTAACTATTAAGGAATTCACCTTTGATTTAGCTACTGACTCAGAAAACCTGCCATCAAATGATGCTGATTATCTTAATGAAGACACAATATTTGAAGAAGGTGATGTTGAAATCGATAATGAAGAGATTATAAGCAACATTACCAAAAAGAAAATCTCTATTAAATATCTATTAAAGACTGAAGGAATTTTGGAAAAAGTAAAAAATAATGTTTACAATGCATTACTTTATTACTGGGATACCCCCAATGATACAGGATTAATGGCTACTTTATTAGATCCGCGTTATAAGGAGTTAGGTTTAGAACTAGAAGATAAAAAAATTGAAATAATTCAAAAACTTCGTGATGAGTTTAATGAGTTGAATTCTAATAACTCAAATAATACAACACCAATAGCACCTATAGCAGAGCCATCTAATCCAATCATACCTTTTTCAGATGCAGAATCTTCGTTGCGTTCACAAAAAGAATAACGCCAGCGCCGTAAAAGTAAGACTAAAAAACTGTTAACAACTGTAACTATTGATGAAGTTGATAGTTATTTGGCAATGCCAGCTGCATTGAAAGCAGAAGATCCATTAGATTGGTGGCAAGTTCGTGCAGAAAATTTCCCAAAGTTATCACAAATTGCCCGCAAATACCTTGGGATTCCAGCTACTTCTGTGTCAAGCGAAAGGTTATTTTCTCACGCTGGTTCTCTAATTTCAGCAAAAAGAAATCGTTTAGACACAAGTTTAGTGGGTCAGATATTGTTTTTAAAGAGGAATATCCGTTCAATGAAAGTTTTTGCAAAAGAGTGGGACGAAGTTGAATAATATTAACCTTGAATTCATGAATTGTTAAACCGTTTTTTTACTTTTTAGTATTTAAATTTGTAATAAATAACAAGAATATATGGAATAAATGAAATATTCATAAATATTAAAAATAAACTACTAATTTCTATAATAATATATTAGCGGACTAATTTTTTTTTTAAAAAAAAAAATAAATAAATTCTCCAAATGCGCAAGCTTCGAGTAAATGGACCAATAAAAATTTACGGATCACGGATGATCCGCTAAAATTCAGATTGGGATAGATCCGGATAGATCTTAAATTAATGCAAATAAGGATTAATCCGGATAGATCCTAAATTAAGGATCAATCCGTAAAATTTCAGATCTGGATGGAAATCCGGATCTGCTGAAGAGATTTGGGATTGGATCCGAATAACCATTTAGAAATAGGATCAGATCACTAACTGGAACAACCTTGGTTACTGATCCTATTGAAATTAAAAAACTTACAAATAATCATTTTCAACTTTGTCCTGGTGCTGTAAATCAAGATAAACCTATTCCTGATCAATGGAAAAATCAATATAATCCTCTATCTCATATCGATCAAGATATTTATAATAATATTATGGATCTGCCTTTTTGGGATGAATGGGTTCAAAGTGTATCTGAATTACCTAATGGAAAGGCTACCGGTCCCTCTGGCATTTCGAATGAAATGATTAAACATTTATCTGACATAATGCAACAAGTTTTGTTTAAGATAGTGTGTACGTGTTTTAAATTTCAAGAAATTCCTTCAGCTTGGAAATTAGCTAATGTATACCCTATTCCGAAGCCTAAACCTTGGGGGTGTAATTTAAACAATACTCGTCCTATTACACTTTTAGAAACTGTTCGGAAAACAATGGTTAAAATACTAAACAGACGTTTATCTACTGTTTTTATACAAAACAACATACTTCGAGGTAATCAATTTGCTAGTTTGCCTCATTCTTCAACTTTTGAGCCTATTTAGATTTTGAATGATGTAATTCAAAATGCTAAAGAAGAAAAGAAAGATCTTTGGATTTTGTCGCAAGATCTCTCCAAGGCTTACGATCGCGTTAATATTCATATTTTGCGGAAAGCAATGGCGCGCCTTAGTATACCTAAAAATTTTACTAAACTTGTGCTCTCTTTATTTACTAATAGAAAAAATTTAGTGTTTACTCCTGATGGTAATACTGATCCTTATGATGTAATTATTGGTATCGATCAAGGAGAGGTTATTTCACCGCTTTTATGGTGTATTTATTATGATCCTCTACTTTGTGAAGTCGAATCTAAATATTTGGGATATAATTTTCAGGCATCCTACAAAGATAATATATATGATTTACAATCTAATATTATTAATCAACACATTTTATCAATGGCTTATATGGATAACACTCAATGGTTATCAGAATCTAAAGATAACTTGGAAAAAATTTTAGAAATTGCGGATGATTTCTATAACTTTACTGATATACAAGTCAACAAACAAAAATCTGAACTTCTTTTACGAATTCAAAATCCCAATTTCAAATATAATGATGATATACAACTAAATTTCGAAAATCAACAAATTGCCATTAAACCAGTTCATCAATCTCAATCTGTTCGAATACTGGGTGTCTGGTTCAACATGAACTGTTCTCAACGTTACGTTATTGATCAGATTAAAGAAGAAATTCTTAAATTAGCTCTATGTATGAAATATAAACGTCTAACTGACAAACAGGTGCTGTATATATATAATAGCCTTATTATCCCAAGGATTGAATACCGCTCACAAATTACCATTTTTAACAAATCTGAATCTACTTCGGTAATGGCGCCGTTTAGAAAAATTTTTAAATACAAACTACATTTAGCGTCATCTATTCCTAACGCTATTTTGAATAATAATTTTATTTATGCTTTTCGTGATTTATATGAATTACAACTTCAATCAAAAATTTCAAATTATAATTTACAAATCAATTCATGAGGCCTTTTAGGTATTATTACTGATATTCGTATTAGTAAATTATAACACCTTTTATGGCTCCCTTCCTCTCCTTTATTAAATTTCCCCTTTGATAAATCCTTTTCTTTA